CATCTAAATAATAAGAGGGAGCAATTATATAAACTCTCTAAGCAAATAGATAAGAGGTGTCATTATTTCATTATTAATAAATTGGACATTTCATATATTCCCAGCATGGCCCAGGGAAGTCCATTAATAAGATTTGGGCCTTACACTTGAATTGTTTTAGATGGGCTGAAACTGAAACTGCTTTTGGAAAGTCTTGCTATTTCATGCTCAACCCTACAACTCCACTATAGTTTTGGCAAAATAACACACCACAAGATTTATTATAAATTAGGCAATGTTATTGCTAGGTAAATTTAGTGATAAGTTAGATGATAACTGATAAGTTAATTTTAAATCTATAACTAATTAATAGCTTATAGCTTACTTTTGAACGACTAGTTGATATGATAAAACGGTTTGGTAGATTAATTGATAAACCAATTGAAATAAAAATTTCAACGGGACTACTTATGAGTAGATCGAAATTTTGTTCATTTGTTAATGGTAACCCAATTCAATCCGCATGTTATTGGATTAACAATTATTTAAAAATATACAACCATTCTAGTTAGAACTCTTTGCAATTTTAATAACAAAATATATATATACATATGTTTATGATTAGTGTGTTATGTGAGCCAAGCCTAGAGGAGTAAGCTCGAGCACGTGCTCGTTAGTAAACAATTGACTCAGCCCATCAAATCTCGTGAAAGCTCGGCTCAGTTCGTTTAATAAATCTAAACTTTTAAACTAGTTGTGCAAGAACATCATATGTTTACTCCCAAACAAGTTTGATTGTTTCATTTAATTTTTTTTTTTTAAAAAAAATGAGTTGTTTGAAAACAAACTCAACTCCATTCGACTCGTTTGATATATAAAGTTTTGTCTTGATTCGAGTGGGGATAACATTTCTCTTCTGCATGTCCATAAAGTTTGAGTTAATTTGGTATAAGGCTTCTAAAATGAGTTTGATTGATTGTTCGAGCACATCTAGTTTAAATAAATAAACAAACGGGCCGAAACCAAGATTTCACGAGTCACATTCCGATTCGTTTAACAACTTTATACACAAAAATAATATAAGAGGTCCAAAACTCAAACAACAAAATATATATAATCCAATCTTAATTAATTATTACATTCCTCTAACTTATCTCGATCATAAACTAACACAAGCTTAGAGACTCTATTTTTATATATATATAATTTTGCCCTTTTCCTAAAGTTTCAAACCCAAAAGCACATAATTGGACAGCTCCAATTTTCAAAACACACTTTCTCAACAATACCTAAAAATGAAAATTAAATAACCTAATAATAATAATAATAATGATAATAATAATAATAATAATAATAATAATAATAATAATAATAATAATAATAATAATAATAATAATAATAAATAACAATATCATCATTTACCCTTATAAAGAATACTTAATTAATTACTAATCAACCCCCACTAATTAATTACTTTTTTAGAAAGGTTAATTAATTAATTTCAGAATTTAAGGCTCACGACGGTGCTCGCGTTGCTCTCCTCGCCGTCCGCCCTCGACCTCCTCTCGCCGCCGCTGTCCGCCTTCCAGCTCCCACCGCTGTCTGACTTCCCGTCCTCGATGCTCTCCGACGGGTCACCGCCACGAATATCGGACTCCAGCGATCCGTTCCCCTGCGTCGACGGCGGGTTACCGCCGTACAGATGGATCTGCTGTTGGTGATGGTGGTGGACGCCGCTGTGGGGGTGTATCTGGTAATTGGTA